TATACATGCATACATACACAAAGGCATGCTTACACACATACATACATACATACATACATACATACATACATACATATACATATATACATATATATATACACATATATACATATATACATATATATACATATATACATATATAAATATTCACATATATGCATATATGCATGTCTACATATATACATATATACATATCTACATATATACATGTAATATACATTGATACATTTATGCATATATATATATATGTATGTGTGTGTGTGTGTGCGTGTGTGTGTGTATGTGTGTGTGTGTCTGTCTGTCTGTGTGTCTGTGTCTGTATCTGTGTGCGTCTGCGTGTCTGTGTCTGTGTGTGTCTGTGTGTGTGTATACATATTCATACACGTACGCATACCCATACATATTCATATTTACATTTCCATACGTTTATCATGTGGATATTATATATATACACGTTGCATGTACTTCCAGTTTTGTTTTAAACTACTTCTAAATCCTTCTAGGGCAATTGAAAACCTGTGGACGAGTCATATGATTTGTAAACGCGAGTTATAGAACAAGCGTTCGTATCCGAGTATGACTCCAATTAAAATACTTTACATATATACATGCACATACATATACACATACATAAATACATACATACATGAATACATACACATATACATTACATATATATATATATACGTATATGTATATGTATATAGTATACTCACATACCCATATATACATATACACGAACAAATATGTATATATATATATATAGATGTATATATATAATCATGTATACATATATCCATAAATATATATATACATGCAAACGTCAACCCCTTCAATGAAAGACAATACAAAACCTCCAATTATAGTATTGGTTTGTTGAACAAAATCGTTTTATTATCGTAAACAAAATCGTTCCTAAGACCCGTGCTTTGTTCCAGACTGAACTATTTCCACAGGATAACTAAAATGGTTGTCTCTCATCATACCCTTACATAGGGCAAGTATTTAATATTTACAGTTGACGGAATGAGTGAAGGAGGGCCCACTTTAGAATTGGAAGTTGGATAAGTCGTTAACGAGTGATGACTGGATCTGCTCCTTCTTCTTCTCATCTTGTTTCTGTTGGTTCAAGAGAATAACTAAATTAGTATCTACAGATTGAACATCGCATCATGAAGCGAACTTGAATGAAGAATAAAAAACGAATTCGAAATCAGTCCACAAACAATTAATTAAAACAAGTTCACAAAGAATTATACATACCGAGAACTTCTCAGCTTCGCTAATCATGCGCTCTATATCAGTGGCATTAAGACGTCCGGCGTTGTTCTTGATAACGATGTTAGCGGTCTTTCCAGAGTTACGATCCTTGGCAGTAACGTTCATGATACCGTTAGCGTCAATGTTGAAGATTACCTCCAACTCCGGTGTTCCTGCGGGCTGAGGAGCAATTCCACCAAGAGTGAATTGACCAAGCAAGTTGTTGTCCTTTGTGAGTGTTCGCTCTCCTTCATATACGGGGAACTCAACTGTGGTCTGGTTGTTCTCCGTTGTGGTGAACACACTTGTCTTGATGGTGGGTACGGTGCTGTTGCGGGGAACAACAACTGACATAAGACCTCCCTGGGTCTCAATACCAAGAGATAGTGGTGTGACATCAAGTAGAAGCAAATCTTGTGTGGCAGCTGATGACATGCCGGTAAGCACGGCAGCCTGAACGGCGGCACCGTAAGCAACAGCCTCGTCGGGGTTGATGGACTTGCACAGGGCCTTTCCGTCAAAGAAGTCCTGAAGCAGAGACTGAATCTTGGGTACTCTAGTGGAACCACCAACAAGTACAACATCCTCCACAGCGATCTTCTCGATCTTGGCATCCTTAAGAACCTGCTCGACAGGCTTCAAGCAACCTACGAAAAGGTCGTTACAAAGCTCCTCGAACTTAGCGCGAGTGATCTTGGTCTGTAAACGTAAATTTAAAATAATATGTACGCGTCGGGTTAGTAAACTGAAGATGCGAAGCATTTGAGTAAACACTTGCACGGTAATAATGTATCGAACACTTTGAGATAATGTCAGCTATAAACCCAGCTGAAACGTCAAAAAAGCATTCGAAATTGCTGTTGTCCTCTTCCGACAGAATACATCTATGATACATAAGAAAAATTCCTGTAATAGAGGACACAATCACTATACAAAACAAAGTGAATTCCCTACTGACTATAAAATATACAATGACTGCATGTGGCATATGATTTTACGCAACAATAACACTTACGCTGAAGTCAATTCCATCATCAAGAGCATCGACCTCGATTAGGGTCTGGGTCATGGATGATAGAGTTCTCTTTGCGCGCTCGCAAGCGGAACGCAGACGACGAAGTGCACGTGCGTTATCACCTAGATCCTTTCCATGCTTTCGCTTGAAAAGCTCCTTGCAGTGGTTAACCAGACGGTCATCGAAATCCTCACCACCCAAGTGGGTATCTCCAGCAGTGGCCTTGACAGTGAACACACCACCATCAATGGTTAGTAGAGACACATCGAAGGTACCACCTCCAAGATCGAAGATAAGCACGGTGCGCTCACCCTTCTGCTCATTCTTGTTATCAAGACCGTAGGCAACAGCAGCGGCGGTAGGCTCGTTGATGATACGAAGAACCTCTAGACCAGCGATGGCACCTGCGTCCTTGGTAGCCTGACGCTGAGAATCGTTGAAATATGCGGGTACAGTGATGACAGCCTTGCTAACCTTCTTGCCAAGGTAAGACTCGGCAGTCTCCTTCATAGAGGTAAGCACGGCAGCGGAGATCTCCTCGGGCTGGAAGGTCTTCTTCTCGCCCTTGTATTGAACCTCGATGGCACACTTAGTGTCCTTCTCCACAACAGTGAATGGGAAATGCTCAAGATCCTTCTTTACCGAAGGGTCATCGAATCGGCGTCCAATAAGACGCTTGGCGTCGAATACTGTGTTGTGGGGGTTCATGGCACCCTGACCCTTCGCGGAGTCACCAATGATGCGCTCCTCATCAGTGAAGGCAACAAATGATGGGGTAGTTCGGTTTCCCTGGTCGTTGGCAATAATTTCAACCTTGTCATTTTGCCACACGGCCACACATGAGTATGTGGTACTGTATTTCGAAGAAGAATATAAATACACCGATGAGTTTCAAATAAGATGCATCTTGAATTTGTGCATCTTGAACCTGACACCAAACACGCATGCATCAAACGACATTCATAAATAAAAACGAGAAGAGAGCTTCTAAGTATAGAACGAATAGCGTGCACATCGAAGCATGCGCATATCACCGCTGTGATACAAAGGTTCGTATTACTTACCCGAGATCGATTCCAATGGCAATTTCAGAGTCAGTCATTATGTATGTTGGTGTGTGTGACTCAGGTGGGGATATGATAGATGACAAGTGTGTCACGAGGTCATATAAGGTTTTACAAAAAAATTGGCCGCTTCGTTTGTATTCCACATGATGTTTTGCAGACGCGAATCAGGGAAAATTAAAAAATACATACCCAACGAAAATCAAACCGGGTCTGGCACTTGGCAGTCTGACTACCGCCTACCGGCCTGTCACACACACATACCATGAGATTCCCATCCAGAGACCAGAGCCTCACAGACTCAGAGGTAAATAGCACATGTGTTTGTTTTGATATATTAATTTATCTCTTCACTCCAAAACCCCCGAAACTCGAATAAACGTCACTATGGTTTTATTCCTTTAGGGTCATGGCGTGTCCTTGTAAAATTGTATTTTTAATCTCGGGAGCAGTCCTGAAGCCATTTTGCGGAACCAGGTTTTCGTGATCATTGGTTTTTAACTGAAATGTTAATGGCTTGACTAATTTAAAACTAATAGTATGATAGTTTAATACTTCGTAAAAATTAGTCCATAAGAGCTTGTATGGATCTCCTGATTCCTTGTGTTCGATACATACTTCAACAAATATTGTCGTATGTGGTTACAAATTGGTTGTAGCTGTGACTCAAAGGTCTCACAAATAGAGAAGGCTGTGGATACATTCATACATATATATTTATTTATAGTGATACGTGGTTGTACACGTACAAATATATATATTTATACATAGACACATGGACATACATACATATATATATATGGGTGTGTGTGTACGTTTACAGGAGTAGTAGTATCCACATATTTATATATATATTATATATATATATATATATATATATATATGCATTGACGTACTTTGTATCACTGTGTGTAGATGTATATATATGTGTGTTTATGTTAGTGTGTATTTTTATTTACATGCACATGTATGTTAATATAGAGGAATTTTTATATATGCGTCCATTAAAAAACATGTATATGTATTTAGTGTATGTATATAATACTTGTATACATGATATTATATGTGTGTGTGTGTTTGTGTGTGTATTTCTATATACATGCATACGTATTTAGTATATATTTATAATACTTGTATACGTGATATTCATGTGTACAGTATGTATAAATAACTATACACATGTTTGTTATTGTGTATACGTGTATTCATAAACATATTTATACATAGCCAAGTACAACGATCCTTATTGCTTGTGTGTGAAATACATATACACATATCCCTTTCACCTGTAAATATATTTCTATGTGCTTTAATTCAGTCATATTGGTGCTTATACAGCTAGATCTGGAATGAATACCTTTGTCCACTGTTGTATATATTGCTACACCAATATTCTTGTCGGGTCGCAATCAAATTATAAAAGAATAAAACTAGCTAATTTCCGTCTACGGTCAGTACTCGCCTACCATCTTATGTAAAACTGGAATACTCGTGTTCGTCGCGTCATCTCACGGGCTACCGAATTGTATGCGGGCCGGCCCCGCATTCTGCTGTTTATAACAAATGCGCTTGTACTCTCTGCAAAGTGTTGGTTTTACATTTCAAACTTGCAATTGGCTTGAGTCTGTGCAGTAGTCGCAAATTTGTGATAGATTGAATGTTTGGCGCTAGTACTTGCGTCTTGATTGCTGTTTATTGCAAATATCTGTCGCGGACAATGTTGGAGTAGATATAAATCTAATATTGAGTTGGAAATGCACACTGCATCGAATTAACTACTGCTCGTGACGCAAAAAAAAAAATATCGTGTTATGTTCGTACTCTACTTTTGATTGCCTTGCTGAACGTGTGCACACCGTCCTCTATGAGTACATGGTCTATGACAATATGTGACATTTTTCATCTCATCTCGACTGCCCTCGTCAGAAATTCAATTGAACATGGGCACTATAGCATATATTTGGCAGGACATGCTACGATAATGGGACCGTATCTCAGTTGATAGTGATACTTCAGCAATGCAAAATGCACCGCGCACATATATATCTTTTCAATTTCGGTAACTAGGGTTCCTTCCATAGCTCAATATTTTTCGTGGTCTTTGCATATAACAATTCTTTTGAATAGAGCATAGTAATAGGCTGAAATTGAAATTCCTATCGACCTCTCTAAGTTGAAGTAATATTCGTATAGACTTTATTCTCGGAAAACTATGTTCCTAGTATGTTTACAAAACATCTACCGGTGCCTAGGAAAAGTGTAATGTGCATCAACAGCTCAGCACTCCGGCTTCTGATCTGGCTCTGGATCCTCGCTGTCGATGAACATATCCCAGGCTTTGGGCTGATATGTCTTTTGGATCCATGTCTTATCATCGTCATTTAACGAGCAGTACACCTCGTCATACATCGACGGAGAGAACCCCCCTTCGAATGTGTAAGCTTTTGGACCATTGTCTTCCCACTCCTTCTGTCCTAAAATTTTGTCGTATTTAGACAGGAAATTGCAAAGCCCACAAACTCGGAATTGTAAGATATTGCGATCGTCAGTGTACGCTTCGTTATCCTCGAAATATGCCTCTTCGCTAATTGTAAGGACGCCAATGATACCCCAATCTGCAGCTACCACCCCTCCGAACGCCTTAGCTTTGTTCTTGATGAAAGACCCACTTATGTGTATACCACCATCCTTGTACAACCTATTCACAGCATATACTCCGCCTTTACCTTCCGACTCGTTCTCCGTGAAAGTACCGCTGACCTCAACATCGGGCGACATAATCATCAATGACCTGATCGCACCGCCTCTTGCTCCATAGCCTCTATCGACTGCCTTATTCTTATGATAGTAACCATTGAACTTCACAGAGGCTGAATTGTAGATAACACGAACCTCTGCTGCTGGGGCCTCGCATGCCTCATTCTCGATGAATCTAGCGTCGGGTGTAAATTCGACAACTCCATACACCCATAGTAAGTATACGGCCGCACCCTCGGCATGAACTCCTTCCGCTACGTTCTTCTCCCACAAGCCTCCAATCGTGAGTCGTGAGTGTTCAGGAACGGTTGCGATATATAGAGTACCACCAGTCTCCCTTTTCTCGGTGACGTGGTTTTTGATGAATTGGCTGTTCTTTATCGTTACCTCGCCAGATTGCCCCAAGTACAACACGCTACCATTGATTTCATTATGAAATGCTTCAAATTTCATATCTTCAATATGCAAATTACGGACGTAGTCCCAGTTGTCTGATCGCACCGCAGATGACATCAAACCGGCTACGGTCGGTTGCATATCGAAGTTGTACAACGAAAGCGATTGGTAAGGTTCAGTATCTATGGTTGAATTCAAGTGAAATGCTGATGTGGCTACTTCGTCTAGTGAGACCGATACCCATGCTCTCTCCCTATCGCACTCAACACCTACAATAGACAGCGAAATGTGCAAGAATATCGGATTGAAAACGGCCTGCAACCCTCCGATATAGATTATATCACCCGACTCTGCCTTTTTGATTGCCGTTGTCATAGACGAATAGCACTCGTTATTCAAAAGAGTTTTGCCTGAACACTCACAAAGCTGGATCTGTGTCGCGAGAGAAACTTGAGATGTGTCACTCAGAGACAGATCTTGGTTCAGCTGTATTCTAAGCGTCGCGTCCTGTTCATCATCACTGCTATAGTCCGGTGTAGGATTTGCTGAGACTTGTTGTGGTATGAGAAAGCTAGCACACGCTAACGTGGTTGAGATGACAAAGGAAATTGGTGTCATTATTATCCTGAGTGTATGCGCAGAAAATGATACACCCTATGGATATTTATACAACAAATCGAGGAACTTCCCCATCTTGACCAGAACAACCGGCAAGAGTTCATAATCATCAAACACATGATCGATCATGGTTCTAGTTAGCAGCTTTGTTAATACATTTCACAGATACCCAAACTATTCTATTTGTAGTAGCTATGGAATAATTGTTTTGTACTCGCGCGTAAAATTACAACCACTAAAGTACACTGTAGTGTGGTGATGCGTGGTGATCACAATCCGATAAAAAGCATTGTAAAAAGGATCTATTTATAAACGAATTTATATTTTTTTTATGAAAACAAAATAAAGTGAAATGTAATCTTTTTTTTTAAATGGCTTGGGCCCTTGGGGCTGGAGTTGGGGTGCAGCTGTGCAGGTCTGCAGGACTGCAGGCCGCAGGCAATATCGCTGAACTTATTTTAAAACTTTTAACAAGTGTTTCAACTGATTATTTTTAATAGTCAGTATTCTATTTATCTATGTTAAATGTATTGTATTTTAGTAAGTAAAAATCCATATTTTTATATACATCTATATAGAGCAATCTATTTTTATTTATATCCTTTGTAAAATATATGTACATACATACATACATATTGTAGCCTCCAGGTATTTTTGACCGGAAAACATTGCTTAGCGGGGGTTCCCAAAATCGCAGACCTAGGGAACGGGGTTGAAAAGTTGGCGGAAATCGACCTGGC